TTTCTTTCTTTCTTTCTTTCTTTCTTTCTTTCTTTCTTTCTTTCTTTCTTTCTTTCTTTCTTTCTTTCTTTCTTTCTTTCTTTCTTTAAGCATTCATCTGCATATATTTTTTTAAGAGTAACTTACTGGGCGTCCTGAATGGATCCAGCTATACAGTGGAAACGCTCTGGGACCGTTTTCCATTCCTTGGCCATTTTCACCATGCTCCCAGCATCCAACACACCGTATCCAAAAAGGTGGTTGAACTCCAGACCAACGCCATTCCTTCTCCACTGGTGGACTTCATCATGTAGTTGGTTTCGCTTTGAGGTAAGGACTGACAGGTGCTGCATGTCTCTCCATGTCAGGTTAGGGCTAAGATGAAAAGACAAAAGAATATTTAGAACAGGGGAAATTCCTCAAGGAAAAACATTTAAAATGGAATAGCTAAAAGCTTTCTATATCTGTCTTGGTGTTTTGGGTGCAAATGGTTGTCTGTCTGGGTCTCTATAATTCTGTCTGTTTTAACTGACAGCTTTACTCTTCCAGACTCATGTTGTTCCACGGGTCAAGTGTGTTTGGGCAGTAAAAAGGCTTGTGGGCTATTTGCAGCCGGACAGGGTGGGCATCCGGTCTTCAGACAGCAACATCATTATTGTGTGTGCTGAGCAAACAGTGTGTCTTTAAACAGCTCCATTAGCTGGTGTTGGTTAATGGCTAGAGAATTTTGTCAGCCTTTAATGTGAGAAGCGAAGCCCTGTGAGAGAAGAAAAAAAGACTGGGTCTCCCTAAAGATTTGAGAAGCTGTGACTCCCAAGATAATAGATTGGTTGTCAAACAAAGATTCTCTATTGTCCTTACTTTTGATATCCCTGTTAGCTCTTAGATAAAAGCTTTTTCACCATTTGTGTATTATGATGAATCCCTTTTGTACATTACATAATGAAACATAGCCGGCCTTCTCAAACCATGAAAGAAGTAATTTAATGAATATAATACAGGTAGGGCAATATTTGTGTTCATTCTTTAAACCCTCTAAAATGATCTTTGAACTGATCTAATGATGGTAAGTGTTCTTGAGTCTCTACACTGTCACATAAGGTTTTCTTTTGATGCTCTCGTGTGATAAACAAGCAATTCTGTAAAAAAGTGATTAGAAAAATTGTGAAAAAGAAATGACTTGCACCAATAGAGTTTGGTCGGTACAAAAATCAAATATCAAAAGTTGAGAATTATGCCTGATGAAAAGTGAAAATCTTACACTTAAACTGCCTGACAGCTAAAGGTTTTTCAAATAAAAAAAAAGACTACAGGCACACAGATGGTGCCTTCTGGCTGCCACCCTCCTAAGATAAGCATCATTCAATGAGCCAACTTAATGGTCTTTGATTGACACAGTCCATGTAAATCAACATTCACAGCTATGAAACGTAAGTGAAAAGAGCCTGTTGAGCACATACTTAGCTTCAAGAGCCAGTGCAAAGACGCCTGCTGCCTCTGGTGCTGCTGCGGATGTTCCAGAGTGACGCAGTGTGCAGTTTCCATACAGATCTGTAGTAGCCTGAAATAATAAAAAAAGAAAAAAAGAAAAGCTGTTTTAGAAATGTCATTAACGTAGTGATTTGTAGTGAATTGAGCTGTTAGCCAAAGACTCCTCAAATCCTTACATCATAAGAAAGACACAAAAGGAAAATCAAAATTAAAGAACAAAACCATAAGTCATGTTTGCAGTTTACCAAAAACCATGTGGAAGAAACAGCAAGCATGTGTAACGTTGTGCTTTTGTGGGATTTGAAATAAATATAATACTTTGACCTCCATTTACTATTCTATTTGTGGATTAAAAAAAATAATAATAATAAATGACAATGCACATCAACCGTTTCCCACATTGAAACATGGCATTAGCAGTATGTTGCTGTTTGGCACATTTTCTACAGTACAAAGTTGAATGGAAGACAATGACATATGGAGACATGAGGTCAAGCGCCTGCCTTTATCTCAGACTTTCCAGAGGAGTTGTGGCCGACCACTTCAGCATCAAGAGCTGGAATACAGTAAAACCCAGCAGCACTGCATGGGGCGGCTAAACAAAATAGCTACAACTGGTTATAACTCAAATGTCTTCTGAAATTGATGTTTACATACGTTGTCCTAACATGCAGAAATAACTTCATGAAGTGATCAAACTTTTGGGTTCAACTGTACTCTTCTTTTGGATCTATTTAAGTAACTGCAAAGATGGCTATACTGCAGACAAGTCTAAAGCACCTGAGGTAAATAAAGATGGCGACAACAGGCAGGGATGGACTGGGATTACAAAAGAGCCATGGAATTTGACTCAGCACGCCAAAATAATTTATTCACAGAAAGTTTTTTTTTTTCAACAGGCATATTGACTAGATGCACAAATAAAAAAGTAGCCTAACCATACTTGAGTATTAACAAAGAAATGAAGTTTTCATCACACTGCTGCACCCTGGCTGAACCAAAACAAAACAGGTATTGAAATACAAGATATAGTATACAATGAGTCATGATGATTCACTTAACTGTATATTCTCTTCACAGTTTGTTTCCCTTTTTCTGTATTTCAATATCTTTGTGTTTAAGCGTTCTATGCTGTCAGGTAAACAAGCTAGAGGTCTGAAATTTTCTGCATTTGTGTGACATGATGTAGAACAAATGTAATACAAGTTCCAAACCCCACAGCTCTGGAACTGTTATAGCTAGAGGTCTGAAATTTTCTGCATTTGTGTGACATGATGTAGAACAAATGTAATACAATGAAACCTGCCTTTTCTCAAGAATGTCTTTATTACTGCTGTTCAAAAAAGACCTATCATTTCCAAGAATAAAAAAAAAATACTTGTCATGCTTTATCTGGTGCAGGTTGGTCTGTGCTCTAGTCACCCAATTTTAAATTATATATAAACTAGAGGTTGTTAGCTTTCAAATAATGTATTGCACATGTAATTTGGGCTTACAGTTCCTAAGTTATTTGCTTTTCCATTTAGGTATGCAAAATAGGCAAGGATTACCCAAAATGAGGTGGATGTTAAGAAGTTAAGGCCTATGACTGCACTTCTGAGTCTTTTGGCTATTTCACTGCCATGTACCCTCTTTGCTTATACAGAATTAATTGTCTTCTCTGAACCCAATTGTAATTTTTGTCAGACTGTTTGTTGGAGAGAGTAGCCTTTTGTTTAAACTCAGTTTTCTCCTCCTCTATTACCTACTGATGGTGATCAGAGGGCCCAGTGGCACCTGTGTACTGCAACCTCGTCTTAGCTTGCCCCCATTGATGTGTGAGTGTGTGCGTGAATGACTGAATGTAGTGTAAAGCACAGGCCAATGTGTAATAGAGAGCTTCAGTCATTTGCTTTATTTAATCTAGGTTAGAAAGCTGTAGTCCCACTTTGACAAGCATCATCCATCTGTGTTTTCATCAGGTTTTGTTGCAAAAACTTAAGGCCGGATATGCACTGCCTTTCTTACTCACAGCAGGGCTTTTAGTGTTGACCCCACAAAAGTTTAAAAATTAGGAGCAAGGGCAGGGTGTCCTAATACTTTAAAACATGACCCTGCTCCAAGACAGATCAAACAAATAATCAGATGATTACCAGGACTCTGGAGAACATTTATACTGAGGATGCAATTCAGCTCTTCGATTCAGGTGTTCTGGACCAAAGACATCTTCAAGATAAAGGCCCTGAGTTCTGGAGTTGCCCATCCCAGAGTTAGAGCCTCCAATTTGCGTATTCAGACTTAGCCTCTGTTATTGTCACTGCTGCTACTCTTGGGCTCCTCTTCTCCTTCTTTTTTCAACAATTTTTCAAGTCAAACCTGCATTTTTGCTATCTAGAAGACAGGTGTATAAACCTGTAGATTAACAGGGGGAAACAATTGGTGATGACTGAATGGTGGCCGCTGGCTGCTTTGCAGGGGCATTCTGTAAATGTCCAGATCATAAGTATCCCAGTATGCTGGAAATTTTAATAAAAACCTTGTCATGTTAATGTTAAAATCACCAATGTTATCCCAATGTCCTGTCATGTTCTGACACCATAAAGCCAAGGTCATCTTATTATGATAATAGTAATGTCATAAGCCAGGCAGCTACTGGTCCATTTACGGATATCACCCATCTGTGAACATCAATTGTCTCTGTACACTAAATAGAAACAACAACACAAAATATGTTAATTTGTAGGAAATAATTAAACTATGTAATTCTTCTTTTACTTCCCTTTTATGTTGTCCTTAAACACTAACAAAACAAAAAATGTAAGTGTGTATTTTTAGCAGGGCAAAATAATAACAAAAAAAAAAATTGAAGAGGATTCAATACTTTTGCAAGGCGTTTTTGAGGCGTTTTTTCCCCCTCTTTTATTCCGACCAGAGTGAAAGTGTAATCTTTATCTGCTGATTAGAAATCAGACAATTTTTTTTGATTGGCTGCTAAACTGTCTAAGAGAGATGAGTGCAAATTTACTAAAATGCACAATTCAAATGAATGTTTATTTACTAAACATGGTACTTAATAAGAAATGATAACAGATTAGGGCCAATTACAAGACAAAGAAACCCTTGGGAAGCCCATGCTTTGTCAATACCCAAAGGTTATTTGCATAATTATTCAAACAGTGCAATCTCTGAAAACAGGCGTGCAAGATAATTTGGTGTAGAGTGCTGATGTATTGACATGGATGTAACGTTTTTAGAACCTTTTAAGAAAGGATCAAGGTCAGATATTTAGTTCTAATACTGTACTTTAATACTATTGCTTAATTAAAATGATTTCCTCCAAAACTGTAAACAGAGCTTACTGACTAAAACATTTATAACGATGTTGGTGAGACATTGTGAAAGACCTGAATTTATTGAAGTCACAATCTTTTCCTGATCATTTCTAAATTACTAAAAGAACTTTTTTCTTTAGTGCCTAAGCATAACAAACACTGCAAAATGGGTAAAGAATTTCAAAGAGCACCCTACAAAGGACAATTAGGAATTGCCCAATAAGTGACATTTTGACAAACTGTTATGTTTTCTTTTTTTGTTTTTCTTCACATACAAAAAAGGCATTTTGATTAAAAAAAAAAAGTATCCAAAAAAAGAGAACAGAGACAACACTACAATGGACGTCAAAGCATTATTTGCAGACAGATTTATCATGCCAGCCTTATTCTGAGCATCAAAACAAAAAATAGAAATCTGAATGTCAGGCTGATTACTTGGAAAGAGCTATGCCTCCATCTAAGCCTCTATTATATTTTCCAGCCATTTTGCAATTTCCTGGTTTCATTCAATCTCCTGAAGGGTCTAGGATACACATATGCTGTGCAGAGAATGAGCATATAACTGCTTTGTGTATGAATGGAAGAATGTTGTTTTATAGAATAAGAAAATATCTGTAGAGATCAACATAAGAACAAATGCAGAGAAATCCAACCTAATGATCTTTAAATGTCAGAAGTATTATAATAATTTTATTTTAATAATCTGAATCGTTCATCATTACTCTTGAGAATTGCACACAGTTAAATGTGAGCATACTTACAACTCCAGCCTCTGGGTTCCGTTTTCGTCCATTGCTGAATGTAGATGCCAGAGTGGAGGAACAACTTTCGTCATACAGAGCAGTGCGGCCATCGTTGATCGCAGAGTTGATCGAGATGGTCCACATGCTGGAGGCATAACCGTCACAGTTGCAGTCGTCATAGCTGCCGCCATCCCCTGATGCCCACACGTAGATACTGCCTTTTCCTCCACGCCCCTGAAACAAAATAACCAAGTGAAGCAAAAACACTTCAGGATTCCTGCTTATTTCTCATAATGTTCTCTGTTAAAGTGATAATTACCAATAGGGGAATTGAATCGGACTTTAATTATAGTACCAGTATCTGCCTGTCAAAAAGTGTTTTCCTGAAACTGATCTCCTTGGTGCATGTTTTGAATAACTCATGCACTAAAAGCAAATCAGACCGCTCTTGCCTGCAGGTGGTGGATTGGTAATTGTTCTTGGAAAAATTGCCTGCCTCCTCTTTGGTCCTACATTGTGGAAGAAACAACCAAATCAAACAGCTACCTAATGAGATTTCTCACAAAAACAGTCACTCCTTACTTCTCAAACTAAGGTAATAAGACACGAAAAACAATATTATATGTGATTCATGCCTTAAACCTTCACCCAGAGAACCCAGACCCAATTTCATGAAAATCATGGGAGTTTTAAGTTATATCATACATACACATTTATGAAGTCTTTTTTTAAATAGCACCACCTACTGGCACAGATCTTACATGTTACATGTATGAGATGTTGGGCTTGAACCGTAAATGTATTCCGTAGTTGGAAAATAATTACTCGACCGTCTTTTGTTTATGAACAATATACTTGCCTTTTATCTGCAACTCCTTTGCAAGTTTGATGACCAGCGCATAGTTGTGTTTAACAACTAGTCCTTCAAAATAAAAAGTCTCTAGTATTCAAGGTACTTTTGAGAACATTATTATAGTACACCAAATATGAGGCATATGATCTAAATTAAAAACAACATCAACACATTAAAAGTTTGCAAAAATAGAACAGAAATTATTATTTCAACTCAATACTATATTGGAACTTCTGTTGTAAAGGCTGTATTCTTAAACCTGATGCTAACACTTAATTTACAAGTTACACTTTTTGTGACTTAATCAGTGTGATCACCTGAAATCTGTAGGTTTGATTTAAAAAAAAACAGTAGAAAGGTTTAATAAGTAAACGTTTTTTCCCCAATATTGTATACCTCTATTATATTAAATGATTTAATGTGATCTAGTTTTGTATTTTTATTATAAACTAAATTTGCATGGATTTACAACTTGCCAAGATAAGACAAGCATAGTATCCCTTGTAGGAAGAAACAAACAAAAAAAAAACTGTAAAATGTCAGCTGTTTTAATGTCAAAATATCCTAAAACAGCAAGCAAAAAACTGTAGCTCCAGGAACACAATATTGTTTTGGTTTTTTTTCTCTTTGCTGCACCTGTGACTACAAAAGGCTGATGGTTTCCTAAGAAGATAGACTAACAAGAGGAGGATGGGTGGCATGTTCTTATTTTCCCCAGCTTATATCCTCTTGCTAATAAAAAAAAGAGAGGTTTGAGCATCACTTTTGTGCTTCAGGCCTTCGCCTCTCAGTTTTCTGTTCCAATTGTGATTAATCACTTTAATTTTTGCTCAGGAAAATGTTATCCATTTCCATTAAAGCCACTTCTTCTTGCAGTGATTCTAAAACATAATATACTTCTTCATTTTACACTTCCTAGTCTACACATGGCATATCACACAGAAACTTCTGCAACTGAGTATTAGAGTCTTTTGTAAGCAGCAGCAAATTGCAGAGTACCTAGCTGGTAAGTGTGGTTTGCTTCATCGACTATTACACAGCGTTGCTTTGGTTCAGCGACTGTGTCTGAGATGGAGATGTTTTAGACTAGCTTGAACCTGCTTGCACATGGCACACGGAAATTTATCGATCTAATAACTGGCAGTGTGACTGTTAGCATTATGACTGCTGTGTGGTCTAGCATTTATTCCAGTGTAAGGACATTTAATCAAGCAGGTAGTACAATCAGAGAACCTACTAGTCCCCAAATAAAGAAGTGCTGTTTTTAAGGTACAGTAGGTGTCAGCTAAAGGACTAAGGTGGGAATTGAGTTTAGATCAGGTTAAGGGGTTAGTTAAGTGCTGCTAATAGCTGGTCTAGGATTAGCGTCAGGGTTACGCTATGGATATACGGAAAATAATGGAAGGCAATACAAAGCCCTTTTAAAGATACAGAAACCTAATATGTTTGTCTGAGTATTACTATATATGTTACAGTATATGTAAAGCTCATATTTCAAATGTTTTTAGTAGTACACTGTTATATGTATTTCTAAACGATCACCTTATTATGACTATCTTAAAACTGAAATAATTAAAGCAAGTAACAAAAAAAAATCTAGTTGATTTCCTTATGGTAATTTTTCATCTTTCTAAAGATTTATTTACTCTCTTGGCTTAAAAAGGGAACATATTACATATAAGAACTAGGTTTAGAAAACATGTTGGAGCTATAACTCAACATTTATAGACCACAAATATTTTATAAAAGAACCACAGATCAAAATATTGTATTTTCCAACAAGGACCAGAGTTGAATATTATATCTATCCCAGTGTTTCCCAACCTTTTTTGACTTGTGTACCCCTTTGGGCATTGTGTTTTACCAAGAGTACCCCTTTCAGTCAAAAGTATTGATGATTATCCAAAACTGAAACATACAATAGCTAATAATAAAATAAAGACTATTTTACTTAATCTTTTAATTTGAGCATTTAATTCTTATAATTGTATGCTTTCTATCTCAAATAAGAAAACATCGTAAATATGTTGCCTGGAAGTTAGTAAGGAAAAAATAAAATCATATTATAATACTGTATTTATAAAACTGGAACAAAAATCATAGTCAGACTGACTTAATTAGTTTTACTTTGTTTTCATCAAGACATCGGAGCTGCACTGATGAGCTCCCATAGCTCAGTGTGAAAACCAGCAGATACCAGGCTGTTCTTTACATCCTTTCTCTTCCTCTGATTGGTTTTAAAGTGTGTCAGAGCTGAAGGTGAACTCAAACATATAAGACTTTACTTTTTGGTTTATACATGCTTGTATAATTTTTAAATTAGGCCCTTGCAAAGCAAAACAGATTCCAGCCCTATTTTATTTTACTACCTAAGAAAAAAAAATATTTTCATGTACCCCTTGCAATGCACTCTCGGCCCCCTAGGGGTACGAGTACCCCCAGTTAGGAAACACTGTTATATCCTACTGCTGTTTTCCAAGCAGGGCATTCAGCTGTATCAAGACAGGCAGATACATATCTTATCTATCTGGTTTCAGTCTTTTGGCTGTCTGTGTATTTTTACAACTGTCTACGTTGGTCTTTTTACAAAACATTTCATGTGACGGGAGCGGAGCGGAAGAATTAAGGTGGAGCGCAGAGCGGTTTTCAATTGAAAGGCCGGAGCGAGGATTTCGCTCTGCTCCAGTTCACTCCAATGAGCTCCCAACGTCAATTAAAAATGTTTGATTATAAAATTTGTAAAATACCATTTATTTTATTTAAGTGTGATAAAAAGTAGAATAAAATATCATAAAAACATACACTAACTATACTTAACAATGCAGACTGGGTTTACATAAAGTGATTGTTGTGTTAAGAGCCTATTTTGAAAATGGATCGCCTACATGCCTTATACGCTATTATCTCATTTGCAATGGTGTGCGATGTGACCTTTTTTATTGTAGTCTAGTAAAATAAATTAGTAATTGAATAGGAAACGTGGGGCAAAATGAATGTAGCTAGGTGTTACGTTCACAGCTGGGAAACGATAATTGCGATAATTTAACAGCCAGTTAAATAAGACAATACAGATATATCGGTCACATCGGTCCCAGTGCCCTGTCATAATTACATGAAGGAAAAATGTCAGAAAATGTCTTCTCCTAAATAACTTGAGCGGGCGTGGAGCGATTTCGCCGGAGCAGCAGGAAAATGAAGGTGAGCACGGAGCAGATTTTGAGCGGAATGGAGCGCAACTTTGAGTGGCGGAGCAAATGAGTGAACATCCTCCTGAGCGGGGAGCGGGAATTGCATGGCGCCCAGCTCTGTTCACATGCTCTGTTACAGAACATATCAAATATACCTTTTTATGGGTGTAAAACCCTTCTTCCAGATAGACACTTAGAAACTTAAGAATGCTATGACAAAAATCTTTAGAAGTTGATTCTGATATTAATGGAACATTGGCAATATTATTACAAAACGCAAACAACATCTGACTGATTCTTTTGTACCTTATTGACCCCATCAGCCATAGCCTGCAGTGTAAGTTCTCGAGGTCCATCTACCGTCTTGCCATCATCGGTTGGCCCCCAGCTGGCACTATATATGTCAATAACTTGGGGCATATGGCTGATGGATGATGCTTCAATGATGTCAGTCATAAAAGGTTGGTCCAGCATCCTGATACCTAAAACGACACAAACCTTAGATTTATTAGCCTATTATCATCATTGGTGCAAGAAGGCAACAGTAACAAGGACAGAAAAGAAATGCAGCCCTGTTTCATGTTAATATGCTTCCTGAAACACACCATGATAAAAGAAGGAAAAAGACACAATTTTAGTATCGCACTAACAAAATTTCCAACTGCTTATTTAATTTCTCATCTTTGTACACTGATCTTGTTTTATTCAAAGATTTCCACCTGGTAAATTAAATAACTTCGATCTCTGTGAATAGAGGTCTGTTTTATACACAGCACCATTGTACACAGCACCATGTATTTTCAGCTTTCTCTCCATAAATAACCCACATCAGACCTGAGAGGCTGTCATCATACTGTTATCAGAGGTATTATTTCGATACCATTGTATTTTCATATTCTTTCTCCTCTCTATTCAAAGGCAGGTTTTTACATGACACACACCTGCCACCTTGGAGTTGTAGGCGACTCCCACACCGCAGATGTTATTGTTTGCTGCTGCAGAAACCTCCCCAGCACATCGTGTGCCATGACTGGTGACAGAAAAAAAAGGAAAGGAATGACTGGTGAGGATTTGCATGAATTTACATAAATTTGCAAATCATATCTTCTTGGAAAAGTCTGAGCAAATATTTCACAGATCAGCTGTAACCTTGGTTGCTCAGGACTTTATGTCAGACTTAAATAAGCTTTTTTTTATTGCAAAACACAGTAAATAATTTTGTCAATTTGATCCTGTGATTTGAGCCACAGTTGATCTGCAACAAACTACATTTGATGTCTAACCGAATAGCTTAAATGCATCTGCATTTTGTTTTCACCATGTAATGTGTCTTTGTTGCCATCTCTTTGCACCCCCACAGGGACATTGCAGAGTCAACCCCTCTTTCCCAGCATGCTTTGCACCAGACAGCCAGCTATTTATAACAACCAGCTGACTAGCCAGCGAGAACTGCCCGACAGTCAGCAACTGCTATTAAAGCAAAGCACTGCCTGCTTAATTTCACACAGAGATTCAACCACACACATTTAGGTAGATTAAAAAAAGCATGCAAATGTCACAGATATGCATTTGTTATAGGTTGTCTACATGTTTTATTGTATGTGAAAGTGGCATTGGTGTTGGAAGACAGGAGAGTGATAAAGCTTAGTCACTACTGTTTCCTTTCTAGTTGAACATCAGCCTAGAATCTTCTTTTTTATAAACCCCATGTAGACAATTTGTGAAGCAAAAATAAATGTTTTTGTTGTTTTTTTGCTGCTGGAGAATACCCTTGTTTATTTTGCAGCATTCCATTGTTCCATTAATACAATATTTTTAAATGAAATAATGTAGAGAGAAAATCAATAGGTGTCATAGCTGTCAGACCCAGATGTAGCACGCATGGCACATAAAATTGTTTTTATCAATATAGACAGATATTACCTGTTGAACCAGTCATCTGTGTATCGTGGAAATGGGAATGGGTCATTGCTGCTGAAATCATAGCTGGCATCTGCATTCTGAAAGGACCAAATTCATAAATTAGGAATTTGCCAGTCCATCGCAGGGCAACACAGAGACAAACAACCATTCAGACGCACACACTCACACATAAGAAGAATTCAGAGAAGCCAATTAACCTAACAGTCATGTGTTTGGACTGTAGGAGGAAGCCGGAGTACCCGGAGAGAACCCATGCATGCACAAGGAGAACATGCAAACTCCATACAGAAAGACCCCAGGCCGGGAATCAAACCTTTTTGCTGCAAAGCAGCAGTGCTACCCTTCGAAATGGAGTGAACCATCATAAGAACTCTAAAAATTAATTCATTTAAATATTGATTACTTAATGATTAATACTATTCATAGCACATTTTATAAATTAGTATCTTAATGTGCTTTAAAATACAAAAAAAAAAGGTAAACATAAAAATATAGAGGTCAAAAGATTATATGTGAATCATAAAACCTGGAAAAGCTTACTCCATAACTGCCCACTCTTACCCCTGTCTAAAAGCCACCTCAGGAAAGAAAAAGGGGTCAGATTTACAGCAAAATTGACACCAACTCCTCACAGTGCAAGCTTGACCCAAATAATTCAGACTAAGGTAGACTCATATTCATTCATAATAATAATGATTTGTTCAACTATTGTAGGCCCATAACAATTAATTAGAACCTAACATGCGTCGTATGGCATCTAAAAAAGAAGACAGTTGAATCTATAGGAACAATGAGGGTGAAAAATGATGCCTTGGTCTTAGGTCTGATAAAAGAGCCTCAAGTTAAGAAAGTCTTTACGCTTCAAAGAGAAAAACTAGCACTTAGCAAAATAAAATTGAATTCTTTATTCAATTACCAATACTCTCGCCATTCATTTTAATTTCCCTCGACATTTCTCTTTTGGCAGCTACTACTTCCATGATCGTTTGACTATGTTTTTGTTTTTTAATAAATTATAGCATAGGCATTGTTCAGTTTTGGGCAAATATTATTAGTTTTTTTCCCAATAATGACCTCCAAGTTTAACTGAAGTGCAAAAACTGTGATTTTAATGAATGAGGAATTTCATGATTCTGCCCTTTGTGCACTTCTTTTTAAGTTTCTTTTTGAGCTTTACAGTTATTTATGTCATTCTGTTTTGTTGGTCTAGGTTCCTTTTCCATTTTTGTGTTATATTTATTCTGTGTTGTATTTTTTGAGTTACCCTCTGTTGCCCCCTTGTGCCAGTCTCCTTTTTCCTACCCCCCTTCTTGTTGATTCTATCCACACCTGCTCCATATCAGCTAATTAGCCCATTTTTTTTTGTTCTGTCCCCCATATATATGCCTCTTGTGCAGTTCCTCATTGCTGGATTCTCTTCATTTCTTCTTGTATGTTTCTCCCAAGCATCTCTAGCTTTTGGGTTTTGAGTTCCCTGCCTGTTATTTTTGGATTTATATTTTTGTATCATCTACTTCACCATTAAAACTGCAAATACTATCTCTGCTTCCTAAAGTCTGCATTTGGGTCCAGAACCACATCCACCATCCCTGACACTTATATCATTTAAAAAAAAAAAAAAAATCACGAATCATATAAAAAATAGCTTAATTTTTCATATCTGGTTGTAATAAAACATTAATTAACTATTAATGAGACTGATTTGATTAGCCACTCTTTATTAGTTCTTATTTAACCTATTGCAGTTATGTAAGGTTGCCATGCATCTTTTTTGCAGCTGGCCTGTCTATCTAAGGACATAGTGCAATCTCTGCAGTTGGGGTTTTTCTGTGTCCTATATCGATGCTGTGTTGAAAATCAAGAAAATTTTACATTATTTTTTCTTTCTTAATCCTAGGGATTTTCATCACAGAGACCAATGTATTTTAATAAGTAGTGTCAAATTGCAAAATCGTTTTTTCTTATATGTTGTCTCTTTCATACAATGGTTCTCTTTTTTTACATCTCCTCAGTCAAGTACCTTTGATGTCACCTCACGGTTACGTTTTATACCCTGGAGCCTGACCACCACTGAGATATTTTTCCATGCCAAAGCACAATCAAAGTCTCATAATGATTCATTTTGCTCCCAGTGCTATTACTTTGATGGGGTCTGAGTTATTGGGGAAGGGTTTGTTTTATTAGACCACATTTGTTTTGACATTCTGTTTCTAATTAAAAGACAGCTTAGAACAAACGCATCTACTTTGTCTACCTGGATTCTAAATGTTATTACATATCTTCACTGAGCAACATTACTGTGAGGTCACAATACAGATTTCAAGCTGAGATAGTAAAGATCTGAGATTTTATTCCACATGACTAATAATCAAAGGATCAGAAAAAATAGCAGGAGAAAATAAAAGAAAAGAGGTGGAGAAAAATGTGTCTTTTCAATAATTTTTATCTAGCTATTAGAAAAATCATGAATGAAAAGACTGCCACTAATGTATGGGGGTTACAAGATCCAGTCTTGTCCATCGGCAACCATGAAAAACATTTCTTTTTTTTTTTTTACACATTCAACTCAAACCTATTGATTAATCTGAAATATTTGTATCATAATTAATCATAACTTAAATAACTCAATAAAGAACAACTTAAAGGTTCGGGAAGCATTTTCATGAATTTTTGAAATGACCTGTCCTCTCCATGTTATAATATAATTTTGATTATCCACCCAGAAGAAGAACATCCTCCACTATAACTTTAACTGTGATAATTAAGTTCTTGCACAGATCATACAGTCAGATAGATTCAGAGTTTTCTATCTAAATCGTAGGTCTTCAACAGGGGGTCCGTGACCCCTATGGGGTCCACCGAGGTACTGCATGGGGGTCCAGAAAGTTTGGTTGATTAGACTTTTTTTTTTATAGATTCCCCCCTGCAATTCTTTCCACTAATTAAAATGTATTTAAATACACATTAACATGAATTCAGCACACTATAGTAAACAGATAAATGGAGACAGAAGATGTCTTTCAGGCATCAATCCACACATTCAGCGACACACAGGAGCTCTTTCAAGCTGGGTACCGTTTCATTCACAACACCTGTCCCATCAACAAGGAATCATGATCAGAAATACTTTAATAATCCCAGGGCCAAATTACATTCGTTGCATTACTCCATATGTAATAGATTGACTATAGGACCAGTTTGATATAACACAATTCCATACAAAATATATAATCAGGGGGTCCCTGCTCCATCTCGCCATCAGTTTGGGGGTCCTTGGCCTGGAAACCTTGAAGACCCCTGATCTAAATAATGCAGTATTAGTAAACTTATTGGTTAAAAATTATTTTTATAGAATAAAACAGTACAATCAAATATTTATATTCCCCTCAAATCTTGACAAAAAAAATGAAATGTACTAAATTGGAATTTCAATCCATCTTACTAGTTTGGAGTTGAATGGTTTAAGGCAATAAGTTTTTCTCAAATCATTCAATGTAATTATACATTTTTATAATGTACAATAATTATAGAAATGTGTGGAGATTAGACACTTTAGCTGTAACTGTCAAAAATAAATGTTGAGTAAATTGTTGTTTTCTTATTTTGTTAGACTTTTTCAAATTAAAGAATTTTTTAAAGTAAATATAAGAAGTTAAAATAACAAAAGTTTTTAAAAAGTTCCACAATGAAACTTGAGACAAAGAAAAAAATTTTTAAACAAATGTAAGACCATTGTTTGTAGCACAACATTTTTGAGGAGAAAACAAACTATCCTTAGGTCTTGCCACGTTGATATTTTTTTCTGTTTCATTAAACCAAGTGAAAAGCCTAGAGCCTTGGTAATGAATAACATGGGAGTATGTCCGTGGATCACTTACTGGACCTCTCAAACTCATATCTTTTGCTATCAATCAGACTCTGTTTCCTTGCTGTCATGAAAGCGGCCAGGTAGAGAATTACTGAAACCTTAGTCACCTCATGTTTTCCTGGCAACCCCTGGCTCTTAAAAGAAGAAAAAAACATGTGGACTTACCATAGTAAGGCTGTCAATTTCTTATTTTTTCTTTATAGATCCATATAGAGTTATATGTACACCAAAAGGGAAAGTATTGGAACAAAAATAAAACACCAGTCTTAATAATCTCGGATCTGTTATCAAACTCTTGTTTTAGCTGTCTCTGTTGAAAATGAAGGCAGACTGATACATTGCAATTTTGCTGGCATTACCTGGATTGCCTAAACTGAATGATGTATGCTTTTTAACATAAGCAAATATAACTTGCAAGTGATTGTTATGTCTAAACCAAATATCACAACAAGTTCCAATAAATATTACCATGAAAAGTATGATTAGCTTTATTTTGATACTACTTAAAGGTACACTATGCAACCGGTGTTGATTTTCCA